TCTAGAGCGTGGGACCCTTTTGTTTCTAGCAACTATCATTTTTTTAAAAGGGTAGGGAGAAGACGATTAGTGCGTTGGCAAAGCTCACCTTGTTGTCTTTGACCCTCCTCTGCTCGAGGTTGATTCGAGGTTTTATTGTTGCAGGCATCGTTGGTGCTCTAGGCCTCGGTTACGAGGTCATCTTTGATGGCTGAGTCATCTTTCCCTTCTTCTGGCTTTGCTTCTTCTGGCAAGTCAGGTGCCTCTGAGGGCACTGGAGTAGCCGGCGAAGCTGAAACCGTATAGTCAGGAGGTAAGATGCTGTCCGGGGTTTCTAGTTTGAGCCAATGCTCTGGAGACCAGGGCGAGCGTCATCTGGGTGTTCTAGAGCCTGCCTCTTGTTTAGCCTCATCAATGGTTTTCGACTCATCTAGAATCAGGTCCTGTTGGGCTTGTTCGACAGCCAGCCTTTCGTACTCGTACGCATCTTGAAAACTACCCGCGATGGTGATGACACCACGTGGGCTTGGCATTTTGAGTTTGAGGTAGGCATAGCTAGGGGATTGCCATGAATTTGGCATAACAGGGTCTCCCAAGGATGGCATGGTAAGGACCCTCGAAGTCTACGACTTCAAAGGAGAGTGTCTCCTTGCGGTAGTGTACCAAGTCACCAAAATGATAGATAGAGTGATCGTGCCGAGGGGCATAACCCGTCACCTAGGGACAATTCCATGGAACGGAGAATGTGAGGGGCACAGTTTGTTGGCCTCAATATTTAGCCTTTCGAACACACCCTTGTAAAGGATGTTTAGGCCACTTCCTCCATGCATGAGGACTTTCATCATGTTTACGCCTCCTATGACTTTGCTGACCAACAGAGGGAATCGACTGGCCTCGATAACGTGATCGGGGTGGTCATCCCTATTGAAGGTAATCGGGCGCTCAACCATCTTAAATAAATAGGAACTACAACGGCAATGGCAAAGATGAGACGTCAGGTTACCTTTTTGCGATGGTGGTCCTCATAGGCCTATGGGCCTCCAAAGATGATCATGACACGCTCAATGTTGGGGTAGCCGTCCTTGTCATCTTCATTGGCACAGTCTTTCCCCTTCTTTGGGTGGCCGCCCTTCATCTTGTTCTTGCTGGCTTGAACGATCTCACGTTTGTAAGTCTGACAGTCCCTGGCCAGGTGATTCACCGGGAAGCCATGGTTTTGACACATCTAGTTCATGATCTCGTTGAATTTTCCACAACCTCCACGACTTTGCTTGGGCTTGTTGTCATCTTGTTTTTTGGCGTTGGCCATGAGCTCACCTCTCTACTTACGATCCTTGTTCATTAGTGAGGATTGGTCTGCCTCGTCGGTGACCCATGACTTATATTTGCCATTGTTCACGTTGAAGCAATCTTCACCATCAGCGTGCTCGTGGGCTAAGGAGAACATGTCGCGAAGGCTGATGTCCTTCCTTCGCCCAATGTCCCAAATGAGGGGCTCGCTGTCGATGCCTGCAGTGAAGGCAGTGACGATGCTAGCATCGGGGACATCCTTGACCTTGTTCTTACGCTGTGTAAAGCACTTGATGTAGTCGCGAAGGCTCTCGCCAGTCTTGTGTTTGCATCCTATGAGGTTACACAAAGTGCCCGGCTTAGTATAAGCTCCCTCGAAGTGGTTACAGAATTCCCTCTCGAAGTCGGCCCATCATTTGATCGTGCCTTCATGAAGGTTGTTTAGCCAGTTCTTGGCTGAGTCAGTGAGGAAGATTGGAAGATATTGAATCATGAAAAGCGTGTCTGGTGCGGACACTGCCTTCATGGCGAGTTAGTGAGGAAGATTGAAATATATTGAATCATGAAAAGCGTGTCTCGCCGTCGTATTTGTCAATGTTTGGAGCACGAAACTTTTGAGGTGTCGGGGCCGATCGGATCTGGTATCCGAACATGGGGGGCCCTACTAAGTCACACGGGTCATCCTCAATGGCACAAGGTGCCGGTTCGGTTTGGTTCCTTGGATTTCTCCGATCGCAGCGGGCGACGCCCTCGCTGTCGGAGTAGTAGCTACTCCCCGAGTCATCATTAACCACGTCGTCTTCGTGGTCTCCCCATTAGCAGTATGCCTTTGCCTCCACCACCGCATCCTCCGCCTCCTTGTCCACCACCATTGTTACCTAGTTGCGGGACGGGACCCTGGCGGCGCCCGAGGTTACGGTGTGGAGATCTGTTATATTGGTGTGGCGGTCGAGACCCCGAGTTTTGGGGTATGCGGGCTACGGGTAATAGACGTGTTGCTGAATGCTGGTAAGCGGTCGGCAGTGGACACTATCAGCTCTTGAATCCTTTGGAAAGCCTGTTGGCCTTCTGCTATGGATGGTTGCAACATCGCCATAGCTTCTCGCATGGCCTCGGCCAAGTTTTGTTCGGTGTTAGAGAACACTGGAGCTGCACGCAAAATGTCATTACGGGCCTGGCAGCCCTGGGCTGCGTTCTGCTCCTGGAGTTGATGTCAGAGTTTCTGATTCTCGTCCGCTAACACGTCGTGGTGATTAAGCAGATGGTCCCGAGCCTGTTGGCTGGTCTCGTAAGGTGCTGCATAATCAAACTCGAAATGATTGTGGGAGGAGTGTTCGGGAGTGAGGTACCCATTCCCCTCGTAATCATTTGCACCGAGATAGCAACTGCGTGTGTGCGAGATGATGTCATCATCGTCAACATCTGTGTACTCATCTCCATGTGGAGGCCGAAGACAGAAAGGTGTGATGATGCTGTGTTGATGAGTTCGGTAACACCGGTGCCGTATTGCCGATCATTTTCATTGAAGTAGTCCGATTTTTCAAGGACGGTGCCGCCATGGCTAAGATTATGGATGGTGACTCTGACAAGGTTCGAGTCAAAGTCATCATCGCTGTAGTCCCAATCAGTCTGACGCGGGTTTTGCGAATCCTCCATAGGGGATCCGAAAGGTAGTGCGGTAGCCTGAAGAAGCGGGGTTGGGCGAGTCATCGCTGCATGTGTTGTTGGGACTCGATCCCCGATCTTGCGTAAGAAAAGAGTGGCGTCGGGTCTAGGCTCTAGGCCAGGTTCGGCGAAAAGCTGACTGTGGCGTCTTAGATGACGGGCGATGGCGAGCGGTCCTCCTTCGATAGCCCTCTCTAGTCCAGCGGTGAAAGCACGGATCTGGAGTGACTGCTCCTATCATTCGGTCGGCTCGGGCTCCCGCAAGCGCAGGTCCCCAAACCGGTGGTCGATGAAGTCGAGCTTGCCAAAGACAATCCTCGTGCCCGGCTGCATCTTCCACGGTTCGTCGCCGAAGTCGAAGACGATTCCATCTGAAACACAAAAACAAATCTGAACACGAAAGACACCTACCTGGCGCGCCAACTGTCGGATTGTTTTGCTCCGGCAATATCCAGCAACGTGATCGCGTAGACGGAATCAGATAGTAGCACACGAGACACGGAGATTTATACTGGTTCGGGGCGAGGTGGGCGCTAATCCTTACTCCAGTGGTGTGGCTGCTCTTGTATTTGTATGCTCAATTATAGGGGCTGTTGCTCCTAACTACGTGTAGATGGAATAGGTGGAAGATGGATCCTGAGCCTGAGGCCTCTACCCTCCTTTATATAGGCAGGAGAGGGGGGTTGTAGAGAGGGCGATCAGGCTAACAAATTATTTCCTAATTTGTTACATGATATGCGCAACAGAAAGATCATAGCTATCGTCCAGATACGTCTGTCTTGGTTTGCCTTGATCTCCACGTTAGTCGATGGCGTCAGCCCTCGCGGGCCTTCCCCACGGCTGCTGAGCCGATAGCTTGGCGATGGTCACATATACAGGCGGTGCAGGTACCCTGGCCCATATCTCTGACTATGAATCTAGAAATGTGAAAATGTCTTATAATTTAAGATGAAGGAGGACGAAGTACAAGTTGTACAGCTCTGATAAATGGTTATGTATCATTACCATATAGAGATACCCCATCTGACTTATATATGGTGGACCAGGTGGGGAAGCGTAGAACCGTTTTGGAAGAATGATATCAACCATAGTCTATATATAGAGTGTGAACCTTAACAACAAGAACTCTCAGCATTTTGCCTTGGTGCGTTGGACTTTTATGGTTGATGCTAAGGTATGGTTGCCTTATGTGAATTGGATGAATGCTTGCGATTCCTGTGAATTGAATCCAATTTTGTATCGAATTCTGTACAAAACTGAATAAAAGTTGAACCTGTTGGCATATGCTACCAGACAGGAGAATAAGATGCTATACTAATCACTTGACCAGTTCGGCTGCCTTGACACAAAGACAGACAAGGTGCGCGTGTATGCAGATGTACGCATGCAATACGCATATATACCGATTAGCTCATCAAATTCAACAAATCAAAGACACACACGTGCAGCATATATATAATCGATATTATGTAATATGCACCAACCATCTCCCTATGCTGATGTACAGACAACTATGGACGTGTTTGGAACCACTTGTATAAGAATCGATAATAATTCAATCATCATTCTTTTATAAGTCACGGTCTAAACAATCTCTGGTATAAAAAATCAAGGGCGTTTGGCAATCCTGATTGTTATGGTACTAGGTAGCGTAAAAAAACTTTCCCTTCTTCCTCAGTGGCCCTATCCTAACTCGACCATCTTCTCGAGAGAGTCCCTCGCCCTTTGTCGACGGTCTCTTGCCTTTATCTACTTCCACCCGAGGTCACTGAGGGTCTCTTGCCTTTATCGACTTCCACCCGAGGTCCCTGGCTCCCTGCCCCCGAGGTCGCCCAGCTCCCTCGTCGCGAGCAAACTCGCCGAGGGGAGCGTGGGAAGCAGCCACCATGAGATGCAAAGGGCGAGAGGCGGAGAAGCAGCCTATCAATTACTAGAGAATCCGAAAACCATCAAGGGTGTTTGGGTGGGATTTTCGATTATTTTCACTTAGAATGAAATTATAAACTGAAACAAACACGCCCTATAACGCTGATTTAGATTGTTCAACAACATCCTTTCTCTTTGTCCTATTTTCTCCATATAAGCGAAGCAACCTTTTGGCGTGCTTTTTCCTTCAGTGGCTCAGCCTTTTGGTGCTGCAACGCCTCCCTGATGAATCCCACTGGAGAGGGGACAGGCCTTGGCAGCGAAGACGTAGGTTTGGAGCTAAACTGCTCCTCCGGAACTTGATGGCTAGGCCTGGAGTTGGAGATGCCAGGGATGAAATGCACAGGCTTTTCCTCGTTTTTATGTCGAGCCTGCGCAGGAAGACCCCTAGAGCAGGTACCACCAGCGTGCACATGCCGAACAGATGGATGTGGATCTTCCTGGGCGAAGCTCCAGCCACGAAAACCTGAAGTTTAATTACCAGGCCACTTATATGAGTTGATCTAGAGACGACATCTCTCGATCTGCAGAAACTAATAGCTAGCTAACAAGCAGGAAAAAAATGACAATTTCTTGGAACCATGTATATTGTTGCTCGATCTTTTATTTCTATTGCAAATTAAACACCCTGCGTGCAGAATGAAACACAAAGTTTACAGATCGAAGTGTTTTTTTTTCTAGTTACCTGCAGCTGCTTCAGTGGGAGTAGTGGACGTCTGCTGCTTAGCATAAATGAAACCAGCCATTTGATGCTATGCTGTTCTCTGGCACTGGGATGCTGCTGCGTGCTTAGCTTGGTACCTTGCTGGTAATATATAGCTTGGAGTGAGGTGGGACCGTGGGAGGCAACTTCCATTTATTCCTTCTCTCTCCATTAGCTTGTTGACGAAGTCTCAGTCAATGGCAAGGCGGGAAAACCGGACACGGCATATTTTATTGACCAAAGTCTCAAGTCAATGCAAGCAAGGGTGCGACCGGGTGGGACACGGTTTGTTTGCACACCCGCGCTCTACTCTGCTAAAATGATTAGTGGACGATAATATATATATATAATCCCTCTACTCCAAATTATAAGATACTTTGTTTTTTCTAGATACATTATTTTTATTATGCATCTAAATATAGTGTATATCTAAGTGCATAACAAAAGCAACATATCTCAAAAAACTAAAATATCTTATAATTTAGAATAGAGAAAGTACAACTATATCTATCTATATATTTATATCTAATCTATAGTTGTATCTCTCTCTCCGTGTGTATATAAACGCATAATAATATTAAAGAGCGAAGTTGTCAAGATCATCTCCCTTTTAAATGAGCACCTAAGATAATAGTCTTCCATGGACTACTAAATTAGAAAAAGAGTACATCACAACCACAGATAGAACATATTACAAATCCAAGTACTTAAGTTTACATCACTGAGGTGCTGCACAAACATAGTTCATCACACCATAAGGTACCAACATAAGACAACGACATCAAAGTCTAGCGGAAGTCTTTAACATAGTTTCAAAAAGATACACGTTGCATGAATGTGTCCACGGCCATGCAAATACGAGGCATTGGCCTCTCTACCAATCCAGGTCCTCCTAGTACTCGGGAGCATAGAAAAAGCCATGTACGGGCGTAGCACTACCTGCAAAACTTAAGATATCACAAGGTGAGTAATCAATTATACTCTGCAAGACTTACCCAATATAATAAACACAGGAGCATGCATTTGGATAGTAGCAAGGAGTACAATTGATTTGCATAAACACATTTTATAGAAGAATCATAAATGTGAACAATAAGCTTAAGCATAACAATAGTTAAATGGAATAAGAATTTGCATTTGGATCTCGATCTTCCATGAGTCCTTGTTTCAACTCAGCTCTAGTCCATATCTAGAAGTACATAACTTATAGCTTTCAATAAGAAACTCTACAGAGGGGTACACATTAACCCCACCAAAGACAAGGGATATCACCCATAAGATCCGTCGGTACATAAGGGATACCTCGGTATTTTAACCTTTCACCAATCCGGCCAAGGGTGTCCATGTAACGGTTAGAGAGGTCCTCGGATAATGACATCCCATGTACCTAGCACCACCTTCATGCCGAATCCATGAATAGACCGGTCGCAATTAGGTACCTGGCTTGTCATCCCCATTTATGACAAGTGGTTTGTACGATTATGTTCATGACTTGCTACCATGTATACACGGTCCTTAACCGGTTAGAGAGCTATATCATCCAAGACCATCACCTGTCTTGCCATGAACCAACCCTCACCGACCATTCATCACTATTTATTCAACATTGATCAAGTTTTAGATCATAATCTATTTATGTTGCTTTAGTGGACAAACATGCCCTACAACACGCGAGAGAGATGAGAAACACATCATCTTCTGACTTCTACCGTCTAAGCATACTAAGCATGAATTATCAATAATTGAAAGTAAACAAGCAACGTTTAAGTGGTGTGGTAACATCATTGTGTGAAAGCTAAATTAGGAACTCATGTGGGGGTATGTTGGTGTTTTGTCACCCGACGAGTGAATTTATACATATGTCGCGCTGCTCTAGGAAGACGATGGTAGCATCCAAAGACACAAGGAATTATACTAGTTCAGGCCAAAGCCCTACATCTAGTCTCAGAGAAAGATCGAGTACGTGTTCCTCGGTTGAATGCTCTAAAGTTCTTACAATGGGGTATGCAAGAAGAGTGGAAGAGGTAGGAGAGTGGAGAGGGACTTCTGAATGAAGTCTTGAGAGTCCGCCCCCTCGGAATGGTGCCCTAGCTACCCTTATATAGAGTTCGGGGCCAGGCCACATACAAAAAGTTAGGTTCTTCCGACCGAGCGTTCGTGAGCTTTAGGGAGGGGACACTAGCTATCTTGGCTTGCAAGGAAGGTTGTCTTGTCTTGATGTTAGCGTACGTCCAAGCGTGGCTATCGTCATGGTCTTGTACCCACATCGCGGCATGGGGTGACATGGTGCTACAGTGCCGATCGTGGCGGCACTGTTGGCACTGTGGTGGCTCGTCAGCCATCCTATGCGATGTGGTCTCGCCGTGGCCTTCGTCATTGTCTCATGATCTCCCAGGGGCGTCATACAGGAGTAGGTAGCCGCTCCCGAGTCATTGATTGTCTTGTTGGTCGTGAAGCCAAAGACCACGATCCCAAGCTAAAGGGTCGTGGCCTTCACTGGCTCGGTTGGCCTCAAAAGTCAAGGCCATAGTTGTGGGCCCCATCTCGTAGTGGGTGGGACCGTACGCCCGTCCCGTCGGGCCGTATTTGGACGGTGGTTCACCTTACCTATCATCACCACTCGACGGTCCTGTCTTGTCTACGGCGTGGTGCAGGGATGGCGCCTGCTTTGAGACGGTTGTCCCCTCGGTCCTGGCGGACTAAGCAGGCGTGCCTATCCCTATCAGAACATGCGTACTTGGTGAAGCTCGACCCCTCCTGGTCCCTCCCAGGGGTCGGGTCAGAAGAGAGATCGGGCAGCGCCGTGCTGCGTGTAGAGAGAGGGAAGGTTGTGGATGACTCCCCGTCCTAGCGCTTGGCCCAGGTCTGTGCGGCTTAGTTGGGTCGCGATCGCTTGGGCTTGTACTGGCTTGTTTGTTCTGGACCACCCGAGTGGCTAACTAATCGGTGTCTTGAGATACCCGGGGTATCATAACCCCGACAGGGTACTAATCATAAAGTAACATATCAATGCAAATAAATAACCATAGTTCATTTATGCAATTTGCAAAGCACAGGGATGCATAGGGGCCTGCCTTGAGTGGTCTCGGGTGGCTCGTCAATGACTTCTACCTCCTAGGGCTCTTCTACAAGAACCTCCTCGAGAACCTCGTCACCTATACATGTATGATGTTTGACGAGTACAAATGCATAAAGTAAATGGTATGACATGATATGTATTGATGTTGTTTGAGCATGGTTTTATCATATATGCTATGTGTATGTGGCATAGTGTACATGGGTTGTCGGCCTGTATTGATGGGTGGTCCATCGATAGGGTCGGACAGTCCGTGGTGACTCACGCTTAGCGAAATTGTGAGTGTTTGACCTTACGGACACTCCATCACTAGGCACGGACACTTCGTCAAGGTTGGACAGAAACTTGCTAGTCTCGCGTTATAAAAATATATTTAGATAGACACTCTGTGAGTATACACGGGCACTCCATCCATTATCGGACTTAGGCATTTTTGGTATCCAGATCTGTGTAGTGGTGACGAATGCTCCGCCAGTGAGGTCGGACTCTCCGTCAGTGAAGCCTGTAGCCTCTAGGGTTTTATGCTCTCTTTGGTGGTGAGGTGACGGGACGTTCCGTCAAATATATATGACAGGTAGTCTGTCAGGACAAGTCTATAAGGTACTTAGTTTTTCTAAGTGCTAGATGTTCTTGTGGAACGTTCCAACAAAATCGACAGATGCTCCGCCACGAACCGGCTGCTCCCAGGTTTGGGATTTATTCCAAAAATATTCCTACCGGACTCTCCGTGGGGTTTGACGGAGACTCCTTCAGGATAGGTCTATAGCTTCTACTTCTTTGTCTCTGTGAATAATTTTGTGGACACTCCACCAGTGGTGACAGACACTCCGTGGAATTATTTAGTATTCTGCCTAAGTGTTTTGATCGTGCTGTGGCATTGACGGAACATTCAGTCAAGTAGGACAGACAGGCCGCCAGATGGTGGACAGTGCTAGTTTGATACATCTCGAAATGCAACTCTTGCTCTAGGGTATTTGCATGTCCAAATCCTTGCTAATAAGGGATGTTCCTAGCATATAGAGTGTATCTAGCTACATTGTGTGCAAACATGCTCTAGGTCTTAATTTGGTTATTTCTAGGTTTATGGCAATGTGAAGCAAGAATTTGTTCATTGAGCCTCAAGTACGATTACCAAGGGCAGCAAGATGAAGATCCCAAGCCCTCAATGTGGTGGACAAGCTGGATCTTCCCCTTGGTGACTTGAGTTCTCCTTCTTCTTGTCTCCTTCTCCTCCTTGCTCCAAAATGGTGAGGATGAGAGGGCTCCTCTCTCTTTCAACCCCCACCTCTTGTGGTTCTCGGCCTCTAGATGATGTCCATGGCTCCAAGCTGTTGGTGTTGGCCACCAATCCCCTCTCCTTCTCCTCCTTTGCCTCCTCCCTTGCTCCTTCTTGCTTGAGCGTGTGAGAGAATAGAGAGAGATGAACTAGAGAGAGAGAGAGAGAGTGGGAGTGTGAGAGTGAGTGGGAGAGATGGCTGTTGTTTGCTCTCCACGAGCTGGACAGCCGTGTGAGTGTGTGGGGCCAAATGGATTTACAAAGTGACACCTATGTGCTGCTGCATGGGCTGAAATAACGGACAGTCCGCTAGTGCACTGACAAAACCTGACAACTGTCAGTCTTGGCAAATGTTTCGACGGACACTCCGTCAATTATGATGGACATGCGCCAAAACTAATAGTGAGCAGTTTTGGTTCAGTTTTTGGACAGAGTTGATTTCCAAATTTGAGATTAAAATGCATATTATGCTCATAATAAGTATGAAAATCAACATGTCATGATCGGGCCCTAGGTCCAGGCCCCTCGGCTTCCGGCCTTCCACAACCACAGGGCGCACACACCCCGCAGGTGGTAGCAGCGCCAGCACCGGCAAACCACCCCGCGTGAAGGACGGCACAATCTCGGGTAGATCAGGCCGGCAAAACTTGAATCCGAACCTAAATTATCGGGTAGCCAAAATATCGGGTAGTGTTTTTTTGGACCAATATCGTGTATCAATTTCTGTTACCCGAATTTCAAACTACCCTATCCGAAAATTTCGGGTTACCCGACACTAGTAGAGAACAGACCTTTCATCCGAGGCTAAAATGGGCTCTAGTCCCGATATTTTTTGCGCCCGGGACTAGAGAGACCTTTAGTCCCGGTTGGTAACATCAATCGGGACTAAAGGGTGACCTTTTAGTCCGGGTTGGTATTACGAACCAGGACTAAAGGTCTCCCACCCGGGACTAAAGGTCCCTCACGGGTCAATTTAAAAGTAGGAGCGCAGGGGGACTATGTCACATGTGGTGTGCAGTTAAGTTGGTAAGGAATCTATGCGTAATGAGAGAGGTCTTGTGTTTGAATCCCACTCAGCGCAAGCGAATGCCCAGTGCTGCAGTCATATGTTGCTGCACACGGCGGGAATACCGGAGATGATTATAAACATTTCAAAGAACTGCTAAAACTTCCGAGTAAAATAGAGGGAAAACTGATCCACGAAAATTACAAGAGCCCGTCTTCTCCAAGGACAGATTAATTCCATATCGTTTAATCAAGCTACTTGGAAAACTTGAGGAGATCTTATCATATCATCAGTTTGACAGCCAATAAGTTAATGGAGAGGCAGCTTATGCAGTGAAGACGCGCTCATTTCCATGTGCTGCTGTATCTGCTGCTGTTGATAATGGTTAGACACTGCTAAGGTTGTTCCCGCGAACTTGCAATGGAAGAATTGGTCAAGGTTCTGGTGTGACGCCAGCAGCTTGTCGAGGATCAACCAATCGGCGGCGGCACCGAAGCGCTCACCGCTGTTCAGCGGCATGTCACTGGCAGAGCCACATGATGTCGTCATCTTCACCATGTTGTGGGGAGAACAACCCATGTCGAGCAGGTTCATGGCCACAGCCGATGTGCCGGATGTAAATGCCGGGGCGCCCAGAGGCCCCTCCGCACTCGTGAGGTGTGGAAGGTGCATGGAGGGGTCGAAGGCGGGGACTCCGCCATGCATGAGCTGGCGGAGCTGGAGGCCGTGCTTCTGCTCCACCGGAGTCACGCCGCCCGGGGAGTGGAAGGAACGGAGTTCGTCGTCATCGCCAGCGCCCGCCACCATGCCCAGCTGGTCGTCGAATCCCCTCTGGATGCTCTTTTTCTTGAAAACCCTACACACCACCCATCCATCCTCCTGCATCGCATGCATGCATGTTTCAAGAACCATCATTGACCATTTCCAATTTCCATATGCTATCTCTGCACCAAAGAATTACTAGCTAGTTGTGCGCTTAGTGCTGCTTACCGTAATCGGCACCTCGACGTTGTCATCGTTGAGGCGGTACTCGTGCATGATCCAGTCCGTCTTCTTGCCATGGGGTGCCCTGCCGGTGTAAAACACCAGCGTCTTCCTCAGGCCGATCCTCCTCCCAGCGTTGCCGAGGAAGATGGCCTTGTCCCGCCCCGTTGCCTTCCAAAACCCAGCCGTTGTTGCCCGGTTGGTTCGTGTCCCCGTAGGATACTTCTTGTCCTTGTGGCTGAAGAAATAGCACTCATCCTGAGGCTCCGTCCCAATCCTGCACCGATCTGCATCGTCCACCATGAATAAATCTTGTGAATCGAATAAATCTTGTGAATCACTAGCCATTAGCTTCTTGTTTTCTAGTACATCGCATTCGGATATATGTATATATGATTGATAAGATGAATTGGCGAGTTACCTTTGAGGTCCCATGGTTCAAGCTTGTTGAGGTCGACCTCCCTTATGACATCAAGATCTATGGGCTCATAAGCAACCTTCTTTCTCAGGTAGTAGTAGAGTAGCTCCTCGTCAGTCGGGTGGAACCGGAAGCCCGGAGGCACTGCCAGTGGAGAGCAGCTTGGATGCATGCTTCTTTACCTGAGAAATCAGACCAGAATTGAAGCTTGCTCAAAATCAAGTTTCAGCCTTATATAAGTTCCTCACTGAGCGAAGAAAAAACATGTATATGCACATACCTTGGAAAGACACCTTCCCTTGACTTTGCTTGGTTGTGTGCAGCTTGAAAGCAAGAACAACACAGCCTAGAGACCAGCAGGAGAGCCAATGCAAGATGAGTGTGAAAGCTTGTGCTTGTGATGTTGCAAGAATGAAGTTATATATAAAGAAGAGTCGAGAGGGTTGGGCTTGGACTATTTGGGATAATCTTGGTTCTCAGCAAAGACAAACTGGGCTATAAAATATGCACTATATGGGTCTATGGCCAGTCGGGAATGGGAGTTAGCTGTAAAATCCTGTAGGCAAGGGCGGATATAGTGCTCCGTATAGTGAGTGTTGTGCATTTGGTCATGCCCGGTTTTGGATGTACTACAGGAAAAGATGGGGAGATGTTTCTGGACTAGGGAACCCTGCCACAGAAAATGGCCTCAGAAGGAGCAATGGAATGTCTCCATCTGCAAAACAGCAAAAGGCTTCAGAAGGTGATTTTTTGCAAATATATCCTGTCAAGAGAAGGTTAAGTAGGTGCTAATAAATTGCAATATTCACAGAAACATATCTGTAATGTTTAGTATTCATGAACTTTTTAAGCATCACAGGTGGTTCATGCAAGGTTAACTTCATGAAAAAGAAAATCGTCATTTGACCATGGCCAGCAGTGTGGGAATCAGCAGGGGAATGAACATACAAGAGTTCCCATTCCTTCTATATTCCACATTCCTCTTATAATCCCTACATGCTGCCCTTAGTTTATTACAGTATAGACTTAGTTTTGTTTTTGACTGACGAGTGACGACTGGATAGCATTTATTATGATATGATTTACTTATCCCGAGTAGTATAATAAATCTGTTAATCTAGTAATAAAAGTTTCAAATGTTGCCGCGGGCTCCTCACTTCGCGCGTGGTATGTATCTGACCAGGAATTAAGTTTAGACTTGGGATTTGACGAGGCCTGGTGAATTAATAATTGTCTCATGATCTTTTTCATTCTAGTTGAAACAACATTTCACAATCTGGTATACCTAGTATCAGTAAAGAGTTTAGGTGAAACTCATTCACACAAAACTTGCAATTCAAGGCGTAGTCCATTGTTCAAGTTGTGGATGGGTGTAGCTTGAAGCTCTAGGCGGATGTTCAACTTAATAGTCTCTGCTAAAAAACACTGGTATATAAATAGTAATGGGAGAAAGAAAATATCTATACTGGGCTTTTGATATCTAGTGGGGATTGTTAGAATTTATATGGATAAAATTCCCTAAATCCATATGAAGAAATTCTAATAAATCTTAAAGGGCCAATATATGTGTTCATTAATGGGCTTTATTGTTTAAGTTCATGAGTAGAGGTGGAAGGTATAACATCAATTAATACCATATTACTAATTGATGTGGAGGTATGGAGTTCTCCTCCCTATATATATGTACCAATCCTCCTGAAAAAAGACATAACAACAATAGAACTATCATTGAATTGAAAGTTTCTAGTTTGGAAAATCCTAAGATAGTCGATTAGTATTTTCCACTTCTCACTATTGCGTTGCTTTCTAAGTTTCCCCGTCCCGATCCTCTGCGCGCACAGAGAGTTGGAGAAGTAGGCCTCCGGAACTGCTTTTGCATCTGTGAGATCTGCTCGGGTGTGCAGCCGATCAGGTTTTTGGGGAGCGTCTTCACGACTACTCGCTTCTTCCTGGTGATTGCAGACGTCTTCTTCTTCTTCTTCCTCGGATCGTCTACTTCCCGGTGGACGTTCGAGGGACTGCACTGCGTACATCTTCCTGCACCGGCTGTGGTCCGCGACTTCGAGCAACTCACCATGAGTGGGACTGGAGCCACCGGTGCTTTGAGCATGGGTACCTCTGCAGGGTACATCTCTATTCTCAAATTGGTAAAATTCAATCTCATTTTCGCTATGATCAGTATGTTGTTTATGAACATATTTGCTACTAATCTGAGCAGTAGTAAAATCACACACGTGCACATATTTGCTATCACAAACTTGTTATTATTTTTTTGGATTAATTTTAACGTGAAAATGCCTAAATTTCTAACAGTATTTTAGAAAACCTGTGTACATTCGGGTTTCTTTTGGAGAGGGGCATTCATGACGACCTTGCTTGTGTGTTAAGATGTTGACTAGACTAGCCGCAGCAGCTTGGAATGCATAGTGCAGATTCCTCCTGTACCCTCGAGCAACTTGGCCTCCAACACTAGGCACGGCAGTACGGCACAATGCCATGACTACCGGCGCCGACGTCGACGCACCGCCACCGTGCCATACCGGACGGTTGCAGCCTTGCCCTCGCAGGTGCATGCACACACAAGACGAGTACCCAGTAATCAGCAGTACCCATATGCATCTGATCTCACCATCGATTTGACTATATATATGCAACCAGCTGGATATACATACATATGATTACTACACAACAAGAACAGAAAAACACTCAGGTGCACTTTTGTGCAGCAGCCGGCCGGTCGACCTACCGAGCGCGCGCGCGCCGCCGCCGGCCGGTCGCCGGAAAAGATGGATGAATGCGGAGCCATTAACTGGCATGCAGATGCAGGTCGCCGGCGATCCCGGCCAGATGAGCGCGTTCGTGCATGCATGCACGCGTAGACACGACGTACAAAGCCAATCGAAATTATTGATGATGTGTGAGGGCGCGCGATAGCGAAGAATGGACTTTACTTGATTCGTCGCTGTCGATGGATGCGATAGCGCGGCAGGAGGCCCTGAAACTCTGGCTGTGGCACAGCCGCGCCGTTGCAGCTGCACGTGCGAGCGCCGCCCGCTGGTCAGCTTGTATCCCGTCCAGGTCGGGCCCTCACTTCGAGCTCGAGGGATTCATAGGCTAGCTAGTATATTGGACATAAGCAAATTGTGAATTCCGTTAGTACCAATAGGCTGACGAACGAACCAAAGAAAAGATCTGCTGGTATATTTGACCCAATAAACAATAAAGTATAGTTCAGATAGCCATGCATGGATACAGGGAGAGGGAGCAAATATAATAACAGCCGGTTTGTTATTGATGAGGGTGCTCCATGGACAGGGATTGCAAGTTTAGGAGGAGAGGAACTCTCGGTGTTTCAGGGGCGCCAAGTCCTTATACTATGTGTGAATGGATGGAGTAGTTAACAGAGTTGTTCCAAGTCCCTGTTTGCAGTCTGATCTATGATATGTATTGATTAATAACTCAACTATATTTATGCCCGATCATATAGCTGGCCGGATGGATTCTCACGCTATCTAAATCACGAGCTCCAATGCATGTCTGTGACAGGTCAAACATGGAGCCACATTAGGATTGAACCAACAAGAACATGCATGCGTAAGCTCTTACTAGCACACTGCACACCTCAATGTCCTAATTTTATACTTATCAATACTGTTATTCACGCTTAAATGTACATCTTGGTTCACTAAATTATATGTAACAAAAAGTATTTTATAAAGTAGTAAAATGTAAAAGCACTTCCTTTAAGGAAGCTAATTTTGTTACCATAGTAAAGTTGATTTGAGGTGGATATCATCGTCAGAATGTCATCTAAATTTGGCTCTCCTTATATTCAGTGAATAGAACATCTTTCTGCATTTTTATAACCATTTTTCTGCATTAAGGGCGTCCGCAACGAGGCTAGCGAAATCGCCAGATGAACTGGACGAGAGAAGCCGAAGAAATATATTCTACTCATGCTCTTTCAGCTAGCCCCACTCGCTCATGTCACAATGCAAATCCTCGGGCTACGAAAATCGCCGGACGATTTGTTCGTCGCTGGCGAAGCGTCTCTACCTTCCACGTAGAATGGAAGCTGGAGACTTCGCCGCCCATTGTGGACGACCTAAGTGATCGGCTATAGCATGCATACTTTGGAATAGGAACTTGTTATTCGCAAATCTATGAGTCAAATATTTTTAAGTTTGACAATGTTTATGGAAAAAATAGTATCAACAATTATATCTTAAAATAATTTTTTATGAAATATATTTCGTGATTAGTCTAACAGTACTTATTACATATTATAAACATCAATATTTTTCATATGTTCAGTCAAATTTAAAAGAATTTGATCTCTCAAAAAAACGAGATGTATGTATATTCTCAGGTTTGCCATGGAGGGAATTACCTCGGTACCTGGCTACCTGCAACTGCAGTTCAGACATAATCAGAGCATCGTTCCTTCCCAAATTATTCTGCATGCCAACAGCTCACAGCATTGTCGTTCCTTCCCGAATTATTCCTTCTTCATGCATCCAGATAACTAGTCCGTCCTGTGTTGCACTGACTTCGTTCCTCCTACTGTACATATGTCCTGTTCCTACCAGTGACGATTATTCGAACAGATTGCATGCATGTAGACAAATTACAGTTCATCACAGCATGCAGCAGGTTCATCGAGGATAGCTAGAGACAAGGTTCCCTTTTCCCATATTCTCTCCTGCCACCCCATTTGTGTGCGTGATGAGCTTCAGTATATATATGGTCTGTTTGTCCCCTTGACCCGTGGACACACGCGCACACATTGGTTAATTCTGAGCTTTTCGCGCGATTTTTATGCATCAGTGTGTGTATGCATCTGAACATGTGATCAGATTACAACGAAAACTAGCCGCTAAGCCGGACATTAAGTTTGACCGTACAGTTAAATGCATGTCGTCATGATATACAGGAACTTCGTCTATAGTAATTGTGATTCAACAAGATCTAGCGCGCCTGGTCAATAGTCATGTATCGCAAGTAAGGGGGTTTGTGGGCCATTGCATGTCTGTAGTTTGTGTGGGTGAATTAATCTATGTATAGTAGTTTTTTTTTCTTGGGAAATTCTAGGGGTGTAGTACGTATAGTTAACAGATTCAATGTGTGCTGCTTGTTTGCTGGTCGGGAGTTCTTCGTGGATGATGTTGGAAA